AGAAACAAACCAAAAAACACTCTTAACTACAGGGAACAAACTGGTGATACCAGAGGAGAGGCTGGTGGAGGAATGGGTGCAATAGGTGATGGGGATGAAGAGCACACTTATCATGGTGAGCACTGAGTAATGAGTGGAATTGTTGAATCCTATATTGTACACCTGACACAGAACACTGTATGTTAACTGTATTGGAGTTGTAATAAGTAAGAAAAAAAAAAAAAGACTAAGGGCTTCATTTGCACCTGCATGGTGAAAGGTTAAAAGTAAACTCTACATCGGGTTTCAATATATGCACTGAAGGATCCAGATTGAGAACTCCTTAAAAGAAAGGGGGAAAAAAGCTTTTATTTACTTGAGATAGCAAGAAAGAAAACACAAGTGGGGAGGAGGGGGCCCAGAGACACAGACCACTTAAGACTTAGAGAGAATCCTGAAATTGTCCCCAGAAGGCAGTGGTAGTGACAGCCAGCCAAAAGTCTGATGTGAAGACCTTCACAAACATGCTAAAGTGTCCTGGGCAGCAATACATTGAAGTGATTTAATTCTGAATGAAGTTCCTCTTTGTTCTTCTTAGCAAAGTCCTGCACAGGATTACTATATAAAGTCCCAGACTGGATCTAAGGACCAATTTTAAAAGATTCCAAGGATGACCAGATACAAACCAAAGAGCCTAACTGCCACCTCACTTGCACCTCAACCGTATGCTTTTGCAGATGACAGGGGTTAAGTTTGCAAAGTTACTCTGAGCTTCAAAATTCCTCAAAAAGCCTGATATACATCACTATGGCTCTAAATCAATAGCTCCTATTATTATAGATATTCTTTCCACAATCAAAAATACTGACTGTATTCCTTGTTTTTCTCCAGAAGTGTTCCTTATATGCTTTCTTTTTCCTCCAAATTTTTCTCAAACTGGCATTTCCATAGCTTATTCTATTCCTAGTTTTGTTTTGTTTTGTTTTGTTTTGTTTTTTTAGAGTGATAGAGTGAACATGAGCAAGGAGAGACACAGGGAGACAGAGAGAATCCCAAGCAGGCTCCCTGCTTACCACAGAGCCATATACAAGGCTTGACCCACAACCCCGACATCATGACCTGAACCCAGATCAAGAGTCAGACACTCAACTGAGTGAGTCACCCAGGTGCCCCTATTCCTAGCTATTTTCTTTTGTCCAACAGACTGTGAGACCCTTGAGACCCAGGTTTGCAGGCTCTGGTCCCCACACTCCACACGGCTCCCAGCACAAGGCTTGGCAGGGTTGTGAGAGGTCACTGGTCACTATTACCAGAACCAACTATGGCTCTATCCATATAATGCACTATTATTCAGACATAAAAAGATCAAACTTCTGGGGGCACCTGGGTGGCTCAGCTTTGAGCATCTATCTTCAGCTCAGGTTGTGATCCTGGGGTCCTAGGATCGAGTCCCACATTGGGCTTCCCGCAGGGAGCCTGCTTCTCTCTCTGCCTGTGTCTCTGCCTCTCTGTGTTTCTCATGAATAAAATGTCAAAAAAAAAAAAAAAAAGATGGAAGTTCTGATTCAAGCTACAACGTGGATGAACCCTGAAACACGATGCTAAGTGAAAGAAGCCAGACAAATATTTGTCCATTTAGATGAAATCTCTAGAAGAGGCAAATCTACAAAGAAAGCAGATTAGTGATTGAGGGGAGGTAGGGATGGGAAGGCATTGAAAACAGGTACAGGGCATGTTTTCAGAGTGATGACAATGTTCTGGAATTAGCTGCACAACTTTGTGAATATACTAAAACCCAGTGAAGTTTAAAGTACACTTTAGGAGGATAAATTTTATAGTATGTGAATTATGTCTCAATTAAAAACAAACAAACAGACAAAAAGCATAGGAGGGAGGCAATACCTACATGTGACTAGGGCCGATCTTCTCTCCAGCTACAAGTGTGAGGCACCTCACTAGGGAATGCCAACATCCGCACCTGTGCAGCTGCCCCAACGCGAAGTTTGTTTGTTTTTTTAAGATTGTATTTACTTATTCATGAAAGACACAGAGAGAGAGAGAGAGAAAGAGAGAGAGAGGCAGAGACACAGGCAGAGGGAGAAGCAGGCTCCATGCAGGGAACCCGACGTGGGACTCGATCCCAGGTCTCCAGGATCACACCCTGGGCTGAAGGTGGCGCTAAACCACTGAGCCACCCGGGCTGCCCCAACAAGAGGATTTTTAAAAGATTTCCTTATTGCACTATTTTCCTGAATATACATTAACTAACCAAATGGAGTAAAGTTTCAAAGACAAACTCTTTGTCACACGACAGCACAGCTGTAGATTTTTTTTTTTTAAGATATTATTTATTTGGAATCCCTGGGTGGTGCAGCGGTTTGGCGCCTGCCTTTGGCCCAGGGCGCAATCCTGGAGACCCGGGATCGAATCCCACGTCGGGCTCCTGGTGCACGGAGCCTGCTTCTCCCTCTGCCTATGTCTCTGCCTCTCTCTCTCTGTGTGTGTGACTATCATAAATAAATAAAAATTTAAAAAAAAGAGATTTTATTTATTTGACACAGAGAGTGTGCAGAAGCAGAGGAAGGGGCGGAGGGAGAGGGAGAAGCAGGCTCCCTGCTGGGAGCCTGAGGGGGGGGGGCGGGCTCGATCCCAGGACTCTGGGATCATGAGCTTGAGTGAAGGCAGACTCTTCACCGCCTGAGCCCCTGGGCACCCCAGCAGGGCCACGAACTCCTCCCTTACGTCAGCCTTGCTGAGGGCTGGCACGAGGGAGGGGAAACAGAAGGAAAGTTTGAGAGAGAGCAGCCGTGAGGAATCCAGGCCCAGCTTTCTACAGGCTGCCTTTGCTTTCTTGAGAAGCCCTGTGGCTTCTACCTTGGGGGCAGATCTGCGCGACAGCGAGCTGAGGGCACGAAAGCAGAGAGACACTCACTGATCTCGGTCATTGGTGGCGACCGGGGCAGGGACACACTGGGATGGTTCTTATTGTCATTTCTAACATTTAACTTGACTTCCAAAGATGGGCCCAACCACTTGGAAACACCAGGCTGGGAATCAAGCAAAACCGAATAGATGAAGGGAAAATTCTTTGGCTCATTCCCCAGGTGGTAGCAGGCTAACAGCAACTCCACTTGGTGGTTCTCTCATCCTTGATGAATGATTTGCTAGATAGAAAGTCTAGATAGACCAGATAGAAGGCCGATAAATGCACAGTCCCTGTCTTTTAGCTTTCACCGACTGTTTTTCTTCGAGGCTTCCAATTACAACCAGACAATACTCATCTCAGGGATTTAATCCATCGATTCATCACTATATTTTTTGGCCCCAAGAATAGACCAAGCTGGTCACCTGAAAACAAACCCCGCTTTAATGTATTCTGAATTGAAGGAATGGAAAACCAAACCAAAAAACCCCCTCTAAAGTCACTTGCAATTAGCCTTTGTGTATTTTCCCTGCTCTCAAATTCCAGCATTATTTCCGTACAAAGTTGTCTGGATTGTGTGGTGTTTGTCTTTGGCTTCACACATGTGTGTGGGTGTGTATGTGTGTGTGTGCATTTAGCTCAAACAACACGCTGGGGAAGCCAATGTTTGGATCCAAGCTTTCAGACCACCTAATTATCCTGAGACGTTGGTTCCAAACTGGGTTCACTGTGCCTCCAGGGGATATTTGTTGATGTCTAGAAACAGAGCTGGTGTCTCAATCAGGAAGGTACTACGGGCACCGAGTGGGCAGGGACTAGAGGCTGCCCCATATCCTACAGGGCCCAGGCCGGCCCTCAGGACAAGGCATCCCCCAGCCCCAAATGCCAACAGTGCTGAGAAGGAGAGACCTGCTCAGAAGACACACAGTAGAGGGGGCAAGAGGCTGACAGAGGAGACGAGCATTGCTGCTAGTCCTGATGTCAGCAGGAGGAAACGTGGAGAAGCTTCTATGTCCCAGAACATACTCAGTCAACATTCTTCAACATTCTCCCTTCACCTAACTCCGGCTCCTTTTTAAACAACCAATGGAGGGGCGCCTGGGTGGTTCAGCGGTTGAGTGTCTGTCTTTGGCTCAGGGCGTGATTCCTGGGGTCCCAGCATCGAGTACCGCATCGGGCTCCCTGCAGGGAGCTGCTTCTCCCTCTGCCTGTGTCTCTGCCTCTCTCACTCTCTGTGTCTCTCACGCACAAATAAATTTAAAATAATCTTTAAAAAAAAAAAACCCACAACCAATGGACTACCATAAAATTATAGCCACCACTTGAACAGCTAACCTTTCCTGTGCTTTGATCTGATAGCACCTTATCCAGGAAATTCAGTTTCACATGGCTAAGGAGCTGAAAATGTAGGGTTTTTAGCTAGCTCATCTTCCCACCTCAGGTTAGCCCTCACTTCAACAAAGGTGAATGTTACTCCAAGCTCCATGCACACGTCAGCTAACTGGTGGGACGAGTTAACAGGTTGCTGGGCCTGGGTGGGTTAGTATTTGGCTACCAACACATTTCACTATGTACAATTTCTCCCACGGATTTTCATGCAAATTTTGGAATTGAATAATTTCCTAGATGTCTAAAGGACCACATCAGGGTTCCCGGGAACCCAATTTGATGACCACAGAGCAGTCTGAAAAGCACAGGACTGGAGTCGTTAAATGAAAAGGACAGATCCGCAGAGTCAGCACCGGCGGACTGGCTTTTTACCTGCAAAGGCCCCACATGAGCTGGGCAAACGGAACTGTACCTGGAACCGGTTTGGAGTGACCACCGATCTCCTATGCATGAAGCCACTCAGCCAAGGCGGACACCGCTTAACAATCACACAAGGCTACGGTGCTCAGTAACTGACCGGCAGATGCCATGAAAATATTAAAAAGAGAGGTGGGTGACAACATGCCAGACTAGCCTCCATGTCAGCGACCGTAACTCCCATAGGTGTGATGACACCTGTCCCACACCACGTCACCTCCTTGGTTCGATAATGGCCTACCGGCATGCCCTGGGACTCCGCAATTTACCTGCCTCGGCAGACAGGGCTTACCTTCAGACAACATGCTGAGCGCCTCGTCGGAATTGTGCCCGCCGACACGCGCCACCTTGCCAGAGGGGGGACATTTGCGGGAGCCCTCTGGGGACAGGGAGGTCTGCTCGGCAGCAGAGGTGGTCACTGATTCCCACTGAATCTCCTTCCTGGGGCACTGAGAATCCAGGCTACATCCTGTCCAGCCATAGAAGGCCAAGGACAAGAGAAATCCTTGGGCTGGATTCAGTATTCCCTGGGAGGCGGGACAAAACGACATGGGTCACTCAGTGCGATATGGTGGGAATAAGAGCACAAAGTCCACTGGGACGCCCACTGGGCTGACTTGCTGGGAAGTGACCTGGTTGGCTGGTCTGGGGCAAGACCAAGATCGGCTTCAGGTGCTGTACCTTCCAGGGTGCCTGAAATATTTCCTCGAGTTAAATTCCCTGATATTTTGAGTCTGCCTGAAAGGTCTGATACGATGTGCCAAACTGATGTACCGGGAGTTATGCCGGTTTAATAATGATCCCAACAACGATTAGGACTAGCTAGCTAGTATTTCCAAACCTGATGGAGGTACCAAGGAACCTATTAAACTCATACATCATACTTCAGAGCAGTTCTTTTCCTTTCGACCTCTACTTTCCAAGAAAAAAATTAAAGATCAAGAGTGACCTACCATAATAAACCACGTGGTCTTGGCTGCATTTCGGACAGGTTTCAGAGAGCTTCCACTGACATCTGGTTGCAATTCAAGATAGAATAAAAGGCTTTCATTGATGATGTTCGGCAACCAACTGTCAGAAAGAAAACAACCCAGGGTAAAGAGACGATGGGATACAATTCATTTTTAAATGCTAGGGGTCAAGGAATGTGTCTTCCAAGACCAACAAATCCTGGGGGACGAGGAAGATCCACTTCAGCAGCAAGGAAGAACCAGCGCACCCAGAATTCAATTTAGGAGATGTAACTCCTTGTGTCTCAAGTCTAAAGCAGAGATCAACAAATCTGTCCAAGGGTGACTGACACTCAACACCCCATCAGGTGTAAGGTACGTCTAGCACTCTGTCAAACAACCCAAAATTCGTTTTTCATTTGAAGAGTAATGTAACATTTTGAGGGAGACCCCAACAACTCTTGCTATCTTAAGGTTTGAATTTTTGGATGTTATTGTTGGTAGACCAACGAAATTTAAAATGATGAGCTGAGTGTATTTTTAGAGGGAAATAATTTCCGTCTCTCCTAGGAGGATATCCAAACAAACCTCCTCCTATCAGGTAAGTTATTAACACCACAAAGGCACACCTTGTTTGGAAAAGTATTGATTCACCCTAGCAAAAGGTGTTCTGATTCCCATCTGTTTTGCATTGGTTACCGATCCATCTGAAAGCATCCACCTGAAACTTTGGGCAGAATGCCGGGCAATTGTGAGGCAAAGTGAGGAGAGAAAAATTGACTCTCTCTGCTTCTTGACCACACCCTGAGTCATCACACCAAAAAACATGCTCTGGCGCTTATGTCTTGTCAAATACAGGAATCCTGGGGTCAAGACTGATAGAAATGGGTAAATGTTAAAAGCTTGGTCCAGCGCTTTATTTCGGAGTTCACCTTAGCAGTGGGACTAAACACGGGGTGCACATCTGGGATGTAACAAAAGCAAACCTGAGATTTTTTGTGCCAAGGGCTTTGTATATAATCTGAGTAGATGGAAATATCTTTCCAGGACTTCATACACTGTGGACCTGCCTTCCTGTCTCATGTGTACTTCCTCAAAGGGCCCCTGGCATCCTTACAAAGATTTCCTTTCAAAGACTCTTCTCTTTGCAACTTTCAGGTCACAATCGGAAAAGCGAAATGCCAAGGTGACTGCACATCCCTTCCCAGTGGCAATTAACAAAAAATAAAATAGGGACGCTTGGGTGGCTCAGTGCCTTCGGCTCAGGGCATGATGCCAGGGTCTTAGGATCAAGTCCCGCATTGGGCTCCCTATGGGGAGCCTGCTTCTCCCTCTGCCTATGTCTCTGCCTCTCTGTGTCTCTCATGAATAAATAAAATCTTCAAAAATAAATAAATAAATAAATAAATAAATAAATAAATAAATAGTAAAGTAATGTAAAGTAAAATAAAATAAAATAGAAGGTTACCAAATAATGAAAACCAGCATTATTTTGAAAAATCGGATCTTGATTGTGGCTCCCATCCGTCTCTCGTTCTCTGTGTAAATGCCTTGTCTTCCTTTAAGTAAAGAGGCCACTGTGGGGAAAAAAGGAGAAGTGCATGGAATGTTCATTATTTATATTTCCTGAGTGACAGGGAAGGGAGTCCATGAGGATAGAAGCCCGTAAACAAAGGCAGCAGGGCATGAGGCACAGCAAGGTGTTGCCATTCCTTCTTCCCAGCTTCCAAGCTGAGGATGCAGGTTTTCAAACTTTCACTTTCAAGTCACTGTGGACTTCCACAAGAGCTGCAAAGATAGCACAGAGACTTTCTATGGACCTGAACCCACATTCTTCCAATGTCAACCTCTTAACACACGTAGGCTCACATTTGTCACAAAGAGATTAGCAATGGCGCTTCACTATTAATTAAGTTCCAGATTTTATTTGGATCTTACAAGTTCAAGAACTGTATTCAAAGGTTTATATTTTTTATTATAAATATAATGCACACTGGGGGCACCCGCATGGCTCGGTTTGTTAAGCGTCGGCCTTCAGCTCAGGTCATGATCCCAGGGTCCTGGGATCAAGCTCTGCATTGGGCTCCCTGCTCCGTGGGGAGTCTGCCTCTCCCCCTCCTGCTTTCCCTGCTTGTGCTCACTCTGTCAAATAAATAGAATCTTAGGGATAAAAAAAAAAGATGCATTTCTTCATTGTCATCTTCTCATTCTGCACTTGAGAGATCCACGGGGCTTGAGGTTGGAGGCTTGCTCCCCATCATGTTTCCCTGAGGATGCAGTGAGGACCGGGAAGTCCCCGTCCTCAGCCTAGCGGTCTTTCCAGCGCTTTCTGCTGGCTCACAACATCCTCCTTATCCAGTTCTTACCATTGCCTTTGACTCATTTCCTGTGCTCCACTTCCTGTTTCCTGCCCGACTGAGAAAAGACAGGCCAAGCACATCACAGGAGGAGCCAGGCTCTCCACAATCCAGGCCAGACTCCATCCCTCCCACCCTGCTCCTCATTCCTCTCCTTCCACTCCTCTGACCTCCACGACTTTCCAAGGGCACTCCTGGGGCCCGTTGGGCACACGCAGGGCAGACCCACAGTGAGCCCAGATGGAAATGTAAAGTCCCTCAGTCCTGGAGCTATTCACCTTGGGCAAAGAACTGGTGTAGCCTGTAATTACACAGGCTTGCTCACTTTATTAATTCAACCTGCTTGCTTTCTCCAAGCATACTGTGTACCTCTGTCTCTGGAGGATGACAAATGAGGTCGGTTGTCCCAGGATTCCAGAAAGGACCACACAGGGCATTACCTGAGCCCCAGGCATGGAGGCATACCCATGGCCATGCACCCAGAGTGCTTCCTTGTTTGTTGCTCACCTGCAGTCACGGTCTTCTGGAACAGGACGGGGTTGGCCACAAGGACCAGCAGCAGCGGCAAGTATGTGGTGACGTAGTGGGGAATGGCATGTTCCAGATCCCGCTCACACCTGGGGGAGGAAAACCAAGTCATTCTTGAAAACAAGGCTTTGCCTAAAATACACAGACTTATCTGGAAGCTGAGATAAGAGGAGGAGAGTGAAAAGGGAAATGCATAAATCCACTTCTCAGTCTACCCAAAGGAAATCTGACTCAGAGCTTATGTCTGTGAAAAGGCAATAAATCACTGAAGAATAAGGAAGATCAATCATGTTTCTATTTGTCTTCTAACTGGGAGGACCTTGAAGGCATTCCACTGTGGGAGGTTTAAAAAGGTCCCTGCTGGGGAAAGGAAAAGATAGAAACAGACAGTCTGGAATGGGGGAGTCCTCGCACTGTGTCTCTTCAAGGAGAAAAAGACACAATTCAAGTAGAGAAAGAGGCGCTCACTGAAGTAGTAAGGTTTTATTTAAAAAAAAAATTTTTTTTTAAGATTTTTTATTCATGGGATCCCTGGGTGGTGCAGCGGTTTAGCGCCTGCCTTTGGCCCAGGGCGTGATCCTGGAGACCCCGGGTCGAATCCCATGTCGGGCTCCCGGTGCATGGAGCCTGCTTCTCCCTCTGCCTGTGACTCTGCCTCTCTCTCTCTCTCTCTCTCTCTGTGTGTGTGTGACTATCATAAATAAATAAAAATTTTAAAAAATATAAAAAAAAAGATTTTTTATTCATGAGAGACAGGTGGGGAGGGGGAGCCAGAGACATAGACAGAGGGAGAAGTAGGCTCCCTGCGGGGAGCCCAATGTGGGACTCGACCCTAGGACCCCAGGATCATGACCTGAACCAAAGGCAGACACATAACCGACTGAGCCGTCCATGCACCCCAAGGACCAGAAATTCTATTGAAGGATCATGGGAATCATGTGATGCAGTGAAAAAGTGCCACACACAGGTGTGGGTTCGCCAAGGTAGGGACTATCAGCTCAGAAATGTATCCTGTATCAGAAAAAGGGCGAAGAGGAAGACAGAATCGAAGGCAGAGGGGAGAGAGGACTACTCAGGTGGAAAAGCAGACAAGGGAGCACCCCCTGTGGCTGCAGAAGGTAGAAAGATAATAATGCAACCACTCTCGTTTTAATACGCATGGGCTGGTCAACCAGAAAAACCTTCTGGGTTTTTTTTTTTTTTAAGATTTTATTTATTTATTCATGAGACACACACAGAGAGAGAGAGAGAGAGTGGCAGAGACACAGGCAGAGGGAGAAGCAGGTTCCATGCAGGGAGCCTGATGTGGGACTCGATCCTGGAACTCCAGGATCACATCCCTGGCTGAAGGCAGGCGCTAAACTGCTGAGCCACCCGGGCTGCCCCCTGAAGGGGGAAATGATAGAAAATGCCAAAAAAAAAAAAGTCAGGAAAGAAAAACACAATGCCCCCTTTTCTCGCCATCACAAGGAACGCAATATCACCTATAAATACTACCTTCCTTCTAACAGAAGTTTTCATTTGCAGCTGTGAAGGCTGAAATGTGGTCTGGGAAGACTTGAGGAGAGAAACAAGTAGAAGGGCCAGGATCTCACAGAAGGACAAAAAGTGAGCAATGGGTGAGAGGGTGAGGATGGGAGCCTGATGCAGGCCCAGGAGTGGCCTTGTAAGGTCCACGATGGCGCTCCTCACAAGCCCTGCAGCCATGGCTCCCTCATGCTCAGATGCAATATTTCCAGGAGCCCACAGGTGAAAGCGAGTGATAAAAAAAAAAAAACTCCCTTCCCAATGAAGTGCATTCCATTGCAACAGCCATGGACCCCACACTTGTCCTTTTAAAGTTCCTCAGGAGAGCAACTGTATGGATGGATCTACACAGAGCTTGGAAGTATTCACCATCAACTAGGCAACCTTACCAATTTGGAGCTGTCTGAGTAGCTGCAAGAAGTCAAAAAAAGGGGGGAAGAAGTAGTCTAATCATGGGTCAGCAAACTTTTTCTGTAAGGGAACATTTACAGTAAGTATTTTATGCTCCATGGACCATACAGCCTGTCAAAACTGACACTGCCAGGTGAAAGCAGCCATAAACTGTGCATAAACAAATGGGCATGACTGTGTTCCAATAAAACTTTATTTATAAAACCAAACAGAGGGCCAGATTCGTCCTCAGGGCTGTGCTGTGTTGATGCTTGTCTACACTGCCCTAAAATCACAAAGAGACACCTATTTTTCAGTTTTCCATTGCATGTTAGAATATACATCCTTGGGCAGCCCCGGTGGCGCAATGGTTTAGCGCCACCTGCAGCCCAGGGTGTGATCCTGGAGACCCAGGATCGAGTCCCACATCGAGCTCCCTGCATGGAGCCTGCCTCTCCCTCTGCCTGTGTCTCTGCCTCTCTCTGTGTGTCTCTCATGGATAAAAAAAAAAAAAAAAAAAAAGAATATACATCCTTGGAGGGACTGTGAGACCTACAAATGATTTGCATTGATGAGATTTTTAAGATTGAAGAAAAACCTGAGACAATTTCAGGTGTCTATCTCCCTACATCTGTGTTCAGGAGAGCTGAAAGATGGAAGAGAAGTGACAAAGTATAGCAAGCAGAGGCTCAGAACTAATTTTTTTTTATTTTTTTAAAGATTTATTTTTATTTATTTATGATAGACACAGAGAGAGAGAGGCAGAGACACAGGCAGAGAGAGAAGCAGGCTCCATGCCCAGAGCCCGACGCAGGACCCGATCCCGGGACTCCAGAATCGCGCCCTGGGCCAAAGGCAGGCACGAAACCGCCGAGCCACCCAAGGATCCCAGAACTAGCTCTTCTAGGAGCAATGCTCTGATTCTTCTAGGCCATTTGAATTCATCCTTAGGATGTTAAGTCCCCTGCTCATCCAGAGGAAGCTGGCTTGAAGAATAAAAATTAAAGAAAAGGTGTGCCCGAGAAAGCTCCATCAATATGGAGGATGCACCTAAAGCTGTGTGCACATCCTTACATGGAGGAGACACACCTAAAGCTCTGCACACATACTTGTGTATACAGGTACCTGCACAAATGTGAAGAGCAGAGGCAGGGAAATGAACTCGGGAGTACAAGGTAGTGAGCCCCTCCCAGGGGATCAGCTGGGCAGGTCTGTGGACAATAGCCTGACCTGCAAGGCGCTCACTCTGGGCCAGTGCCCATGCATTTGCTGCAAGAGAACACAATGGGTCAGGGAGCTGGGAGTCCTGGCTTACCTGGACACAGAAGGGTAGTAGAGCATGATCACTCCCTCCACGCAGAGCAGGGTGGCCAGGCCCCAGGCCATGATGTGGTAAAGGACGACGGTGCTGGAAGAGAAGCAGGACAGGGGTGTGTATGTGCGTGTGTGTGTGTCTTGCCTGAGAACAGTGATGGAGACGTCCAGCAACAGAAAGTACCAGACCCACTCCTGGGCCCCCAGTCAGGAAAACGTACACTGAGCAAACCCTTGGCAAAGCCTATCCCTCTGTTTATTTTTAAGTTAAGATGAAATTCATATAATGCAAAAGTAACCATTTTCAAGTGAGCAACTCAGTAGCGTCCAGTAAATCCACAATGTTGTGCCATCACCTCCTCTCTCCAGTTCTGACACAGGCATCACCCCAAAGGAAAGCCCGAAGGCACGGCACTCCCCCTTCCTCCTGCTCCTAGCCACCAGCAGCTGCCAGCAGCCACCAGCTTCCCTTGTGTCTCTATGGCTTTTTCCTCTTCTGCACAATTCTTGCAAATGGAGTCACACTGTATGTGGCCCTCCGAGTCTGGCTCCTTTCACTCAACATGAGGCTTTCAAGGTTGGGCAGACCAAGGCATGGGCGCCTCATCAGTCCCCCCTCGGTACCCGGCTTTCCCACAAAGTAAGGAGCTCCTATCCACCAACCTTCCCAAAGGCACTTCTGTACCTAAAAGTCCAAGGGTCTTGGTGCTCAGCCCAAACCAAGGTCTTGGAATAAACGTGTGCTCCGGGGATGTTCCAGGACAGTGGGGGGCTTTCCTTCCCTGCCTCCCTCCCCCTGCTTCCCATCATCCCCTGCATACTTAGCATTCCTGGACCATCTCTACCCTTCCCATTCTAGGCCCACACACCCCGCCTTTTCCCCTGAGGATGCAGGCAGCCAGCCCTGCAGCTGGGGTCAGAAGGCAGAGGCACAGCCATCTGTCCCTTCCAAAGCCGCCTCTTCTGTGCCGCAGGATGACGGCCCAGGGCTCCACTGGATGCGCTGGCCACAACCCAAGACCCTACCAGACGCCTGGGAAATAGTGCAACCCCCAACCCACGGGGATTTTAACTCTGAAGTTCAGCTGTGTAGACAAGGGAATGGTCAGGGATCTGAGCGAAGGGATGCCCTGTACAAGGAGACAAGAGGACAGGGAGACAGCACACAGGAAAGAGGTGCAGGAAGAAGAAACGTTTCGTAGCCCGCCCTCTGGAAGGCCCCGAGGAAAGGACTCCAGCAGGTTTTCCCTCCCACATTGGAACTGGTCCTGGAAGCCGTCCTGCCCGGCCCTGCCCCAGGCCCTGCCCCATCTCTTGGGGTTTGGGAGCTGGTGGGGTGTGTCTTGCTCAGAAGCCAGAGGCTTTGCATGAAACAAAGGAATACAGGAGCAGCTTTCTGCAAGGGTCTGGGTGGCTGAATAGTGCAGAATGTCTGCAGGCCAGACCCTAGCCCAGGCCAAGGGACCTGGGAGAACGACGCAGCCACGAGGAGCAGCAGGCGGCTGAAGGGCCTCCTCCCTCTATCTGACCACTGGACAGCTTTCAGGTCTGGGCACTCGGGGGCCCTCCCCAGACCCCCTTTCTCTCACACTCGTGCTCACAGGGCAAGTAGTGACTTCGATTAAGGGCTTTTCCCACAGTCTCATGCACCTTTTTTAAAACAAATTTTGCTTATTTGAGAGAGAGACAGCACACAAGAAAGGGGAAGGGGCAGAGGGAGAAGCCGGCCCCCGCTGAGCAGGGAGCCCGACTTGGGGCTCAATCCCAGGACCCCAGGATCATGACCTGCGCCGAAGGCAGGCATGTAACCGACTGAGCCACCCAGGGGCCCCTTCTCCTCTGTTATTATTTAAAACCTTTACCATCCCACATCTGGAACAGAAGGAGCAGTTTAAATTTTAACTTTAAATCTGTCTTAATGACCTTTCTTAGAATTAAGATTTTAAAAAAGGTTCTCCCATGCCAAAGAAAATAGCTTAGTACCAGCAGGATCTAGAAAGGAACATGGAGTTTCACCCAGCCCTACCTGCAACGCCTTGCCCCTGCCCTGGAGTTGCTCAGGACCCATCCCAGGCAGCTCCCATCTCAACTGTCACCTGCACAATCAGCTGCGCTCCGGGCTCTGGAGCAAGCTGGCTCTGAAGAGAGGAGCTCCAGGCATTTCTGCACCCACATCTCCAGCTCTGGCTCCAACACCCTGTGCCAGCTCCGAGATGCCCTCACACCAGGCAGCAGGCCTTCTGCCAGGGGAGATTAAGGGCTGGATCTCTGTGGCTCCAGAACACCTTATTTTTCTGCTGTGCTCTCTACTCTTTTTTTTTTTTTTTTTTTAAGATTTATTTATTTGAGAGAAAATGCAAAAGCGAGCATTGGGGTGGACGAGCAGAGGCAAAGGGAGAGAGAAACCCAAGCAGACTCCTGGTTGAGCCCGGTGCGGGGCTTGACCCCATGACCCTGAGATCAGGACCTAAGCTGAAACCAAGAGTCAATGCTTAACCAACTGTACCACCCAGGCGCTCCAACCCTACTACTCCCTTTTGATGGGAGAGCTCGCTTCACTCTCAATGGTCTTCCTAGCGCTGGACCCCCACCCTTACTCTTGTCCTTACAAGGCATCTGGACGCTTCACATGTTTGGACGTTTGCCTCCTGCATGCCTGGCAGGTCCTCAGAAGCTATGCTCTGTCAGCATCCCCTAATCTCCGCACACCCCCTGCATCCTGCTATAAGTGAGTTCCATCACTGCTCCAAGTGAGTTCCAAACACTCCTCTGAGCATGAGGAGGGCGTCCTGGGGCTCTGCCTGTCTTCTACATCCAGAAAGCACTCAGGCGGCCCCATCTGACCACAGTCATCCAAAGGGTGGGGGTGAAGCAGTGCACTCTCCTGTTACAGCAAGAGATACACTCTTCTTCCAGCTTCCTTTTGGTGCCCCGAGGCTCCTCTTCTCTTTACAACTGGCTGCCTGTGAGACCTCTAGTGTGTCGTAACTCCAATCCCTCTAAAACTGAGAAAGGTATCAGACAGGAACACACACTTGCACTGGGTGTCCAGGTCGAAGACCTCTCATTGCTGCTAGTTGGCAACCCAAAGCCATTTTCCTTTGTCCTTAGTAACATAACCTAGATGTCATGCCAAGTAGCAGTATGCTTGGCTAACAGACTGTACTTCCAACCTCCTCTTACAGTGAACTGTGGCCATGAAACTGAATTCTGGTCAATAATATGAAAATGCAATTGTGTAAGTAAGATCCCCAGGGAGGCTGCTTAAAGGGAGCTGGCTCAGGGGAAAACAGGCCTCTTATGCATCATTGCTCCCTCTACTCCTTCCTGTTCCCTGGAATGCAAATGTGATGGCAAGAGTTCCAGCAGCTTTATTGGGCCACTATACCTTGAAGTTGGAAGTCCTACAACTGGATGATGGAGCAAGAAGATAGGAGCTTAGGTCCCTGATGCCCATCATTAGGGCTCTGGATTGCCTACCTCTGGCCTTTTTTAGCATGAAAGGAAAATTATCTTGTTTAAGTCACTATTATTTTATGTATTTTATGTAGCCAAACCTAATCCTCACTGGTATACCTGCTGGTCCGCCTTCGACCTTCACTGGCTTCCCTAGAGAATTTTCAAAACCAAAAATATATAGGTTCTGTATGGATGTATAAAAGTTTAGGAACAGGGATCCCTGGGTGGCGCAGCGGTTTGGCGCCTGCCTTTCGCCCAGGGCGCGATCCTGGAGACCCCGGATCAAATCCCACGTCAGGCTCCCGGTGCATGGAGCCTGCTTCTCCCTCTGCCTGTGTCTCTGCTCTCTCTCTCTCTCTGTGTGTGACTATCATAAATAAATAAAAAAAAAATTAAAAAAAAATTAAAAAAAAATAAATAAAAGTTTAGGAACAAAGGTAAAAAGATGGAAGGAAGAAGCACAAAAATAAACACTAAACTTGGGCAACCCGGTGGCACAGCAGTTTAGCGTTGCCTGCTGCCCAGGGCATGATCCTGGAGTCCTGGGATGGAGTCCCACGTTGGGCTCCCCGCATGGTGCCTGCTTCTCCCTCTGCCTGTGTCTCTGCCTCTCTCTCTCTCTCTCTCTCTCTCTGTGTGTGTGTGTGTGTGTGTCTCTATGAATAAATAAATAAATAAATCTTTAAAAAAATAATAAAATAAAATAAAAAATAAACACTAAACTTCAGGCCACAGAGCCCAAGGTTAATGATAAGGACACATGAGGAATACCAATGATTTTAGAGCAAGGATTGCCCGGCATATTCTACAGTCTGAATGGGACCTTTGTTTACTGATATTGGCTTTAAAAGTGTATTTACTCAAGGGTGCTTGGCTGGTTCAGTTGGCGGAGCATGCAACTCTTCATCTCGGGGTTGTGAGTTCAAGCTCCACACTGGGTGTAGAGATTACTTAAAATCTGGGTAGGTCAGTTGGTTAAGCGTCTGCCTTTGGCTCAGGTCACAATCCCAGGGTCCTGAATGGAGCCCCCCTTTGGGCTCCCTGCTCAGTGGGGAGTTTGCTTCCCTCTTCATCTGACATTCCCCCTGCTTATTCTCTAGTAAATAAATAAAATCTTTTAAAAAAATAAAATAAAATCTTTTAAAAATAATAACAAAAAATGAATTTATTCAACAAATGGTACTGGGACAACTAGACATCCACATGTAAAAGAATAAATATGGACCTTTTCTTCTTCACCTACACACAAAAATTAATTTTAAATGCTTCAGAGGGGGGACCTGGGAGCCTAGGTGGCTCAGTCAGTTAAGCATCTAACTTTTAGTTTGGGCTCAGGTCATGATCTCAGGGGCCTGAGATCAAGCCCTGGATCAGGCTCCACACTCAATACTTTTCTGCTTTAAATTCTCTCATGACGGGGTCCCTGGGTGGCGCAGAAGTTTGGCGCCTGCCTTTGGCCCAGGGCGCGATCCTGGAGACCCAGGATCGAATCCCACGTCGGGCTCCCGGTGCATGGAGCCTGCTTCTCCCTCTGCCTGTGTCTCTGCCTCTCTCTCTCTCTCTCTGTGACTATCATAAATAAATAAAAATTTAAAAAAAATTCTCTCATGAGAATTCTGCCCCTTCCCCCCAATAAAATAAATAAATAAAACCTTTTTAAAAAATTAATAAGGGCAGCCCCTGTGGCTCGGTGGTTTAGCGCCGCCTTCGGCCCAGGGCGTGATCCTGGAGACACAGGATCGGGTCCCACATCGGGCTCCCTGCGTGAGGCCTGTTTCTCCGTCTCTCTCTCTCTCTCTCTCTCTCTCTCTCTGTGTCTCTCATGAATAAAACATAGTCTTTTTTTAAATAAAATTAAAATTAATAAATAAAATGAATCATAGACCAGGGCACCTGGCTGGCTTAGTCAGTAGAGCACGTGACTCTTGATTCTGGGTTGTGAGTTCAAGCCCCACACTGGTTGTCAAGATTAGTTATAAAGAAAAATCTTAGGCAGCCCGGGTGGCTCAGCAGTTTAGCTCCGCCTTTAGCCCAGGGCATGATCCTGGAGACCTGGGATCCAGTCCCATGTCGTCGGGCTCCCTGCATGGAGCCTGCTTCTCCCTCTGCCTGTGTCTCTGCCCCTGCCCCCCATGAATAAATAAATAAAATCTAAAAAAAAAAGCAGAGCAGTTTTTCTTAAAAAAATAAAAAGAGAAAATTAAAAAATCTTTAAAATGGGTAACAGACCTAAATTAGTGTTCAAACTTTTTTGTCGTTGTTGTTCCCAAGTTTTATTCAAGAACTCATACAAAATATTCCACATAAATGAGTTTTAAGCCTCATCTTGCTCATTTTCCTCATCCTGGTTACTCTGGAAATAATGCAATTTCTAAGTGTCTTTGCTGTTAGCAACTATGTACAATCCATCACGGAAATTATTCTACTTCAACTATTTTTTGGTGAGATATTTCAAATACCTTTTGGAACAAAGCACATTAGAGACACCTGAGTGGCTCAGTTGGTTAAGCAACCAACTCTTGGTTTCGACTCAGGTCATGATCTCAGGGTCATAGAATCGTACTCCATGTCAGGCTTCAAGGCCAGCTCTGTGGGGAGTTTGCTTGAGATTCGCTCCCTCTTTGAGAGAGTGTGTGTGCATGCTTTCTAACAAATAAATCTTTAAAATAAAATAAAAATTTTTAAAATATACTTAAAATATAGTACATCCAGGGGTGCCTGGGTGGCTCAGTTGGTTAAGCATCTATTTGAGTCTTGATTTCAACTCAGGTCACAATCTTAGATGAGATTGAGCCTTACATCATGCTCTGTGCTGAATGCAGAGTCTGCTTGAGATTCTTTCTCTTTCTCTCTCCCTCCACTGCCCCGCTTGTGTGTATGCATGCTATCTCTCTAAAATAAATAAATAAATAAATAAATAAATAAACAAACAAATAAATAAATAAATAAAATGTAGTACATCCATAAAACAGAATACTATTCACAAACGAATGAGAAGCAAGTACTGATGCTGCTGCAACATGAGGAAAGCTTGAAAATGTCATGCTAAGTTTAAGAAGCCAGACACAAAAAGTCACATATTGAATAATTCAATTATTCAATAATTCAATTCATGACGCAGTGCCCAGAGTAGGGAAACCTAGAGACAGAAAATAGGTTAGTAGTTGCCAGGGGCTGGAGGATAGGGGAGGGTAGAGAGGAATTAATCAATGGTAAAGAGATTGGGGGGAGGGGTGATGATTAATGTCCTAAAACTAGTTGGTGTGACGGTTGCACAATTTTGTAAATGTACTGAATACAATGGATACAGTTAAATGGGTAAACTTTATGAAACTGTTTTTTTTAAAAAAAGCAAACAAGGGTTCCATCCAAAATGGGGGGGCACATGCTTCCTGGAGCAGGAGTCAGGGGAGCTAGGCACTCACCCACCTCCCCACCCCCCGCCATCCAGCTTCCCTTTGTCACTTAGGCTCTCTGTATTTCTGTTGCCCTAATGCACACGCACATCCCAGCTGCAATCCCAATGCACAGTTCCTGAGAGCCTACTACGTGCCAAGCAGGAATCTCAAGCATTTACGTGTAGTATTGTGTTGACTGTCCTGTGACCTGATGAGGGAGTCCTATTTTACACCCAGGAAAACAGAAGTCCAGAGAGATTAAGCAGCTTGCCGACAGTTCCACAGCTGGTGACTACTGCATGGGGCCATACCCACTGGGCCATCCTTCACCAGGCGGCCACCTGCAGCTCCAGTGTTTTATACTTGGCATAATGTGTCAATACACACTTGAAAGAACTTTGTCCTCAAACCTTTAGATACAGTCAAATACTGTCTATATTCATGCCAATTCTTTTTTAGTATGTGTCCAAAATGCAAGTATTTAATCTATGGATCACTTATCATGGTTTAAAAAGCCTCATTTTAAATCTGCCTTCAGCCTTTTATAAAACTAAGCTGCCAGAGAGGTTTCTTGGAGAGGGGCTGGCTGACATCCTGTGCCTGCCATACTGACGAATATTTAGGAGCCTTCAGTGGTACCCCCAGCCCTCCATCATATGACACAACCCGGTTCTACGGGCTTCCTCTGAATACCTCTGTCCTGCTGATCTCCGGACTACCAGGTAGGCATCCACTGCATAGCAAAACAGCCACCAGAAGCAGGCGCTGTACAGCAGCTCGATCCACATCTGTAATCAGGAAGAGCCTGGCATCAAAGCTCCTGGAAACAGGCACCAGACTGCCCCACCCGTGAAATGAGCTGGCCTGAGTCAGGAAGCAGGACATGAAAGGCCTCAGGAGATGGTGCTCAGTCTGGGAAAGCAAGGGTAGAATGTGCCCCAGGGCGGTGTGTGTCCTGGTGTGCTCAGTGGGACTGGCCTGCGGGCCCTGCCTCCCTGGACACCTGCAGGTGGGGGAGATGAAGGCCTCACTGGCCTCATGTGCGCACCGTGCACCAGGGTCAGGGCTCAGGGCGCCTGGGAAGGGGCAGCTCTCTGCTGACAAGGATGGACTTTGGGCGGGAAAGGGCTTCCCAGAAGAGGGGCAGGAAGGGGCTCCATATGCTACAGGCAACAGGGGCCTGGTGTGCCTCCCGGGGTGGGCTGAGCCAGATGCTCCACTGCACACAGCTGGGAAGTAATGCGGGCAGAGGGGAGAGAGGCGGACGGTTCTGCACAGCAATACAGATACGTGTATTCAAATACAGGTTTCATTAAGTAGAATACATCCGATAAATCAGTAACTTTCTTCTTTCTCTCTCTTTTTGGCCAGCTGGTTTTAACTGCAGCTCAACCTAAGGTAAGGACTGTATACATGTGCTAAACTGAGCTGGCAGTCAGGAGCCCCTGGAGGGTTTGTCACTCGTAGACGGCCCCCAGCCCCGGCTCTTGATCAGCAGGCTCAGAGAATCTGCATTTCGGACAAACCCCCATGGGGTGACACCACTCTTTGGGGACCACAGCCTAAGAGGAGCACAGTGTACAGAAGAGGGTGACCAAAAGGCGGTGTACTTACTGCACTCCCCACACAGTACACAGCGGGCCAAACATCTGTCCCATTCACACTGGAGATGTTTTCGACGAGATCTGGGAATCCTAACCACACCGCAGATCGGAACAAGATACCTGAAAGAGAATCAGATGACACTATCATCCCGCGGGGGATGCATTCCAAGCCCCCCTCCAGTGGATATAGAAACTGCAGACTGTCCTGAATCCTATATATTCTATGTTTTTTTCTGTCACATGCATTCCTGTGATAAAACTCTATTTATAAATTAGGTACAACAGTTTAACAACTAATAATCCAATAGAACAATTATAACAATATACGGTCCCGGAAGTGATATGAATGTAGTGGCTCTCAACCTCTCTTACCGGATTCTACTCCTCCTTCTTCTCGTGCTATGTGAGAGGATACGATGACTGGGTGATGAGATGAAGCCCGGTGAAGGACGCAGGGCAGGGTGATGTAATGTTAGGCTACCACAGACCCTCTGACAGCACCTTCTGAGGAGCACCTGCTCCCAGACCACAGTGCACTGCAGGGTACCCACAACCATGAAACCAAGGCTATGGCTAAGTGTAAACTAGTGCACACTGTGACGCTCCTAATTCAGATCGAAAGCTCGTTGCTCTCTAAGAATAAGTAAATGAATGGATGAGTAGATAGGAATGCACAGAGAAAGAAATGAGGGAGGAAAGAAACACACAAGGGTGTGTGCAGAGAGACAGAGAAACAAGGAAGATCCAGGGAGTAATGATTTCGGTCACAAAGCCAGCACAGGCATTTTGATTTCATCCGAAACCATCACTACCCCCAGTCATATCCTTAATATCCTTATTTGTTTACTTGATATGAAGAAGCAATTATTTGAATAACAATCTATATTTCAGGACGCCTGGATGGCTCAGTGGTTGAGTGTCTGCCTTTGGCCCAGGGCGTGATCCTGGGATCCCAGGATCGAGTTCCACATTGGGCTTCCTGCATGGAGCCTGCTTCTCCCTCTCCCTGCGTCTTTGCTTCTCTCTCTGTGTCTCTCATGAATAAATAAATAAAATAATTTTTTTAAAAAAAGATCTGTATTTCTTGGCTATATTTTCAATGTCCGTGTCAACTATTCCTCACAGATGAAATAAATGATTGAAAAAGCACAATTCCGAAATGCAAAAAGATAGCTTTAAGAAAAAAATGCATTTAATATTTTCACAAATTAACTCTCGATGATTTGCTCTTGACTTTTATTATTTGTAAGTTTTCTTTGTTACTAGACCTAAATATCTAATTCTCCTCAAAACAGTATACGCCCTTAAGATATATATATATTAAGGCTCCTTGGTAGGTAATGTGACACCCTTTAAGCATATACTATGTAATATGATACTAAACGGTAACTGTAAACAGTACAAAGTTATACACTAAGCACTGAAATACACTAATTAGTGTGTAATATATTATTACATATACAATGCATAATACTTACTAAATAGACACTCATATACCATCAAACTCACACTGCATACTTCACTACCAAATATATATTATACAGTACATCACCAAACGTAAACTGTGTAATATACTCTAAATATAGGGTCACCTGGGGGCTCAGTGGGATAAGCATCAGCCTTCGGCTCAGGTCATGATGATCTCAGGGTCCTGGGACTGAGCCCCACGTAGGGCTCCCTGCTCAGTGGAGTCTGCTTCTCCCCCTCCCCCCTTGCTTGTGCTTGCTCTCTAAGAAACAAATAAAATCTTTTTTAAAAATGCACTCTAAAAATACAGTGTGGGGTATCCCTGGGTGGCTCAGTGGTTTAGTGCCTGCCTTTGGCCCAGGGCGTGGTCCTGGAGACCCAGGATCAAGTTCCATGTCAGGTTCCTTGCATGGAGCCTTCTTCTCCCTCTGCCTGTGCCTCTGCCTCTCTCTCTCTCTCTCTCTCTCTCTGTGTGTGTGTGTGTGTGTCTCATGAATAAATAAAAAATCTTTAAAAAAATAAAAAATAAAAATACAGTATGTGATACGCTACATAATATACACTAGGTAATACAATACTAAATTTACATTACATAACACACCACTGAAGAGAAACTATGGACACCAATAAAAGCTTAAGATAGATCTTCTCCTTATCAAGCACTGCTCACAAAAATAATGCTTTTCTTCTATAGAATGCCTTATCATTTTCAGCATCTAGCACTCCTCTAAGCCCTATAAATGCCCTACATATTTTTGTATTGATATAAGTTGATGAATGTCAACTTACTTTGGTAAACATTTCACAATATGTGTATGTTAAGTCATTATTCTGTAGCTCTTAAATTTTTACTCTACTGTATGTCAATTATATCTCAATAAAACTGAAAAAAAACTTCTGCCCTATGAGGTAGGCATCTTAAGTATTCACTTTTCAGAGAGGGGTCAGTCATCAAGCTTTCCCTTTAATTCTGCCTCCGTTCACTTGTCAAGATCATGCAGCTCCCTTTCCAAAAGCAAGAACATATACAAATATTTTTCCACTGATCCTTAAAAGATATTTGAGTGCATCTTTATTTCCACATATCCAAGCTACAGAAACGAAATTGCTATTAAGATGCTTTTCCAGGGCAGCCCCGGTGGCTCTGCAGTTTAGCGCCGCCTTCAGCCCAGGGCGTGATCCTGGAGACCCAGGATCCAGTCCCACGTTGTCGGGCTCTCTGCATGGAGCCTGCTTGTGTCTCTGCCTCTCTCTCTGCCTCTCTCTCTGTCTCTATGTCTCTCATGCATAAATAAATAAAATGTTTTTTTTTTAAAAAGATGCTTTTCCAGGGGTGCCTGGATAAGAGTCATACAGTCTTATCCAGGAATCATGGGTTCAAGCCCCACATGAAGTGTAGAGATTACTTAATAAACTTAAAAAAAAAAAAAAAAGATGCTTTTCCAAAATGTTTTAGCAGAATCAGGAAGAAAACAAACTTCTGATTTAATTAACCCACACCAAGATGATTTCATCCCTAAGAGAAAGGAAGTACTGCTTCCTGTCTGATTCTTCAAATCTGAGAAAGTGACTACAGGTTCCACAGCATTTCCTGGAAGTCAAGGTCCTTGAGGGTCTCCAACCACAAGAACACAGACCGGGAGAAGGGGGCCTTAAGACACATGGTCATCTCTACTGCTACCTGCCCAAGGCAGGGTAGGAGCTGCAGCCATCTCCTCAGGGCTCAGAACCAGTACTATCAACAGCCTTTGCTTCAAAAGCAAAATTACCAAAAAATACAATTCCAAAATGGTTAGCACCTGTCAGCCAACTGCAAAGTGTGGACTGTATCTGGATCTCGATTCAAACCAACTGTAAAATAGCATTTATGAGACAACTGAACACATAGTAGTGACATTAAAGAACTGATTTTCATTATTTTAAGGTGATAATACTAGTGTGATAAACATATATATTTGTATATTTAATTCTTAACTTCCAGAACTGTATACTGAGATCTGTATGGATCAAAGTACACACATTCTGGGATTTGCTTCAGATTAAGCCAGTGGAGAGTGTGATACCAGGATGGGGTGTAGACAGAGTGAGGTCATGGGTCCAGGGGTTCATTAAACAGTCTTTGTGATTTTTGTTAGAAAGTTTTCAAAATAAAACCTTAAACAAATGGTCAGCAATATTTAGTTAAGAGATCTGTAAAAAGTGCCATGTAAGTTTAATGCAGGGGGTGGCAAAGTTTTTGCAGAGGATGGATAGAAAATATTTTAGGCTTTATAGGCCATAATTCTCTGCCAACATCCACCTCTGTCCTTCTAGGGCAGACATGGCAGGAGTCAATGCACAAGTGTCTGGCATGGGGCAGCCCGGGTGGCTCAGAGGTTTAGCGCCAACTTCAGCCCAGGGCATGATCCTAGACACCTGGGATTGAGTCCCACATAGGGCTCCCTGCATGTGGCCTGCTTCTCCCTCTGCCTGTGTCTCTGTCTCTCTCTCTCTCTGTCTCTCATGAATAAATAAATAAAATCTTTAAAAAATAAAACAGTATGACATGGCCCTGTTTCCATAAAACTGTACTGAAGAACATAGACATTTAAATTTTATTGAGTATTTTGTATGCCAGGAAATATCTTTCTTTTGATTAAAAAAAAAAAAAAGACTTTAGGGCCACAGAAAAGAGGAAGCAGGCAGGATTTGTCATGGGGGCTACAGTTTGGCCACCTGTGGTACAAAACCCAAGCCTGAGGACGCCTGGGTGGCTCCGTGGTTGAGCGTCTGCCTTCAGCCCAGGGTGTGATCTGGGGGGTCCTGGGATGGAGTCCCACATCCAGCTTCCTGCAGGAAGTCTGCTTCTCCCTCTGCCTGTGTCTCTGCCTCTCTCATGAATGAATGAATGAATTAATTAATGAATGAATAGATAAATAAATAAATTCATTCCTAAAAAAAAACAAAAAACTCAAGCCTGACAATTTATATATATTAGGGATACATACACCAAGTTTTCTTCCTGATTCTGCTAAATCATTTTGGAAATGACTCTAGGTGTGTATATACACAAAATAATGTTAGTCTCTGGCAGAATTATAGATCCATTGTAGTATCTGTGTTTTGCTAACCTCCCCATCTAAAGTTTCTCCTAGTAAGCTTGCAATAACAAACTTTTTTTCCTCCAACAAATGTCCCCAACGCATATGTTTACTGCCTACCTTGTATGCGGAGTCCCCTGGCCGTCCTGTCTGGTACCTAGGGAGCCTCCTTTGATTTCATCCTCTAGGCTAGGACTATGCAGACAACCCGCCCAACCCAGGGGCAGTGCTCCGGCCCCGTGCACCGAGCACGGTGCAACCCAGCAGGTCCCACCCGGCCGGCCAAGCTCCCTCCCCAGGTACCTAGCAGGTCCCAACCTGTGGGCCACCATCCTTCCCCGGGCACCCGGCAGGTCCTAAGCAGGAGGCCACACTCCCTCCCAGGGCACCCAGCAGGTCCCATCCCGAGGGCTACGCTCCCTCCCCGGGCACCTAGCAGGTCCCACTCCGCGGGCCGCGCTCCCACCCCGGGCACCGAGCAGGTCCCACCCCCGCGGGCCGCGCGCCCTCCCCGGGCACCCAGCAGGTCCCAACCTGCAGGCCACACTCCCTCCCCGGGCACCCAGCAGGTCCCATCCCGAGGGCCACCATCCCTCCCCGTGCACCGAGCAGGTCCCACCCCGCGGCCGCGCGCCTCACCCAGGCACCCGAGCAGGTCGCAGGCGGCGGCGGCGCGCAGGATGCGCACGGAGGCCGGGGCGCGCGGCGAGGCGGGCGGGGCGGCGGGGCTCCCGGGGCCCGCGGGCCGGCGGCGGGGCAGCAGCTGCAGCAGGCCGAGCGCCACACTGCAGGCGCCGCTGCCCAGGCACAGCGCGTGGAACGCCCGCGGCTGGAAGCTCAGCACCAGCTGCGTGGCGGCGTCCCGCGTGGGGCAGCAGTAGGTCCCGAGGCGCGGGGAGGCCATGGGCCGTGCTGCCGGGTCCCAGCGGCCCGTCTGGGTCAGGTGCCCGCGGGGTGGGAGATCATGTGCCCGGGCCGTCGCCGCACCCCCGCCCCGGGCCCGCGCGTGCGGAGAAGGCGCTGCCTCGGCGGGCGGGGGGGGGGGGGGCTGCGCCCTCTGCTAAGGCCACGAGGGCTCACGAGGGTGAGGCTGGGTCCGGGGGAGGAGGGGTGCGGGGAGGGGAAGCGCCCAGGCGCGCAGGTCAGCCTTCCCCACTCGCGCCGAGCCAGCCCCCAAACTGCCATGTCGCCGTCACCGATCTGACCACGAACGCACGCCCCGTTTGCCAGCTCTGTCCTACCTGGGGCCCGGAGTCCCTAATTCTGATGCGTTACAGGCACCCCAACAAGTTCATAACCCCCGAGGCGGCGGGTGTTAAAATGGTGCTCTTTCACGCCCCCACTCCGCCTCGGAAACACCCGCAGACGTAGGCTTTTTTTTTTTTTTAATTTTTTTAAATTTATTTATGATAGTCACACAGAGAAAGAGAGAGAGAGAGAGAGAGAGAGAGAGAGAGAGAGAGAGAGAGAGAGAGAGACCCAGGCAGAGGGAGAAGCAGGCTCCATGCACCGGGAGCCCGACGCGGGACTCGATCCCGGGTCTCCAGGATCACGCCCTGGGCCAAAGGCAGGCGCCAAACCGCTGCGCCACCCAGGGATCCCCAGACGTAGGCTTTTCGGAGAAAATCAAATCTTAGACAAAGACAGAGGCACTTGGCCTAAGGAGACACGTCCACACTGACATTTTGCACTTCATTGTTCAGTGTTCCGTTTTCACTGTTTCCTTATAGGTTTTGGTATTCTCAATTAGCTTTCAAGAGTAATTAAAAAAAAAAAGCCCAAGCAGCCACCCTTTGATCTCTGTCCCCAATAAATGGGCCCCTCTCCAGGTTTTCTCCAAATCAGCCGAAGAGAAGGCATCCCCACTGTTCCTCCCTCCCCTCACTTATTAAACACCTAAATGCAAACACATGCACTCCCACCCAGCTGTTCATCTGCATTTCCACCGCCAGCTTTGCAACTTTAAGTAAGGCAAAGTTTGGGCTCAGCTCCTAGGCCTTCTTCCTGGAAGACCGCAGGACGGGGCTGCCCTGCTGGAATTCATGGTAGGCAGACAGGAGGCTGCACTGCCAGATGGGAAGCAGAGCCTTTAACAAAGGGCTGTGAATGCCAGCACTTCAAAAGGATCTGACCTGACACGTCTATTAGCAGGGGCAGATGCTTTGAGAGAATTCTGGAACAGACCAACATTGTCGAAACCGCAACCGCTCTTGGGCATTATACTCTTGCTTGTAAAAATAGCAGAAAACATCACAGAAGTATTCCCCACACGTGGATTTCCCAGTCCCTTAGAAAGCGTGAATCGGGCTATTTTGGACCACTGATCTCCTCCTTCCTTTGCTCCCAGAAAGCAGAGATTGCCTCTGGAGGTCAGTGTGCGGAATGGACTTCAAAAGATAAAAATGACAAAGGAGCATCTGTATCTTTGCCCTAATGCCCAGGATTTGCGTGGTCAATCCTTGCAAAAGTGCTACCGCATTTCAATCTCTGCTTTGTGCCCAAGCTGCACATAGCCCACCTCTCTGCTTCCCACATGCAAACCTGAGGGCTCTGAAGATTCAGGTGCCAAGTATTCAAGGATAAGGCTCTCAGGAGGGTCAGTAGTAAAAAGAGGGAAATTATTACAAACAAAGAGTCCTAGGCCAGATCGGCTCACATGATTAAGCTACAGATGGGCCTCAGAGCAAACCTGTGGAAGGATGGATAGGAGATTAAACTTTTTAACTGTCAGAAAGAACTTGAAATTAGTGTAAGAAATAAAACGAAATGGATGGAACTAGAGGGTGTTATGCTAAGTGAAATAAGTCAAAGAAAAACAAGTATGTGATTTCATGGAAAAAAAAAAAAACAGATGAACATAGGGGAGGGAGGGGGAAATAAGAGGGAAACTAACCACAAGAAACTCTTAACTCTAGGAAACAAACTGAGGGTTGCTGGAGGGGAGATGGGTGGGGGACGGAGTAACTGGGTGATGGGCATTAAGGAGGGCACTTGATGGAATGAGCGCTGGATTTTATGTGCTACTGATGAATCACTGAACTCTACCTCTGAAACTAATAATACACTATAATTGATTTTAAATAAAAATTATAAAAGAAAAAAACTTTTCATACAAGAATGCAACTATAATATGAAAAAGTAGACAGGTCGAGCACACACACGGCAGGTGGAAACATCTGGAAGTATGTAGATGTGAGAAATGCAAAGTTGATACTGCCCAAGCCAGTCAGCTGAACCCGAACACTGAGATATCTGTGCTGTAATCATCAGGGCCTTGAAGTGTATGATGCTCATTTTTGCACCCACTCTTCCTCCTTTCCTCCCTCCCTGGATCCCACCTTGCATTTTCAGTCTGGGCTGTCCAGGAAACACTCTGTTGTCTTGGCTTTCCTTTGCTCCACAATTCATAACTTGCACCATCCCACTTGATCAGATACACTAACTGCTGGCGTTTCTCTTACAGACAACTTTCTTTTCCCAGTGAGGTCCCTGACACCCAGAGGTCTTCATGGAAAGGACCGAGCTCCTGGGGAGAACCTCAGGTATGCCACAGAATGCAGTGAAGGAGGTAGTGGGGGGGGGTGTCTGTTGAGATGTACTGGCAGCATAAGTGAGAGCACGATTCACAAAAACAGTAGCGTGTTCACGGTGCACCAGTGGGCAGGCACTACACTTTGCATTTTACATTCATTGTCTTATTTAAAACACAGAATGAACCTTCCAGGTGAGCTTTACTAATCCTTAAACTGAGGTGGACAGTATGCAAGTTAACAGGCATGGCTATGTTCCAGAAAAACTTTATTTACAAAACTGGTGGAGACCTAGACATTTTGGCCCTGCAGGTTCTGGCAGCTGCCCCAAAAGGCTGGGTGCCTAAGGCCAAAATGCACAGAGGTTAACAGGTAGTGGGGCAGGCAAACAGGACAATGAAGGATGGGCAACAAGAAGCTGCTGGCACAGAAATTGGTCTTACATCCTCCCTTCCTCTGGAAGTTTGAGGAAAGGCTGGATACAGCCCTGAGCAACCAGCTGTGTTTCTTAGGAATTTATGGTCTCTATATAAATGTACCACTTTTAATTTGCTCTTCCTCCGAAATTCCCTCCTCTACGTACCTTTTGTCCAGGGATGCAATGATGTTCCCCGGGAAAAGCTTCAGTGCACAATTTGCTATAGGCTCTGCTTTCTAGGGAACCCAGGCTAAGACTCTGCCCTCCTGATCAAGGATTTCAGCTGGGGCAGCCACAGCCCTGATGGGCGTCCATCATCAGATGTATCAGTATTATCTTGGCCTTTCAATTCATTTCAACAGAAATTTATCGAGTACCAGGTATAAATTGATTGAAAAGATGAAGATACAGGCTGTGTCCAGTAAACAGGAGTGTTACCAGGCCTTAATAAGAAGAATATATAAAGGACAAAGGCACTGTCAGTGCCAAGTAAACTAATTAATCATAGATATAAATGGAGAAAAGTAGAAATAGATAGACACTGAGTATGATTTAAAATCAAATTGTAGGGCACCTGGGTGGCTCAGTGACTGAGCATCTGCCTCCGGCTCAGGTTGTGATCCTGGGGTCCTGGTATCAAGTCCTGCATCAAGCTCCCTAAGGGGAGCCTGCTTCTTCTCTCTCTGCCTGTGTCTCTGCCTCTCTCTGTCTCTCATGAATAAATAAATAAAATACTTTAAAAGTGAAATCGTACTTTATTTTTTTTAAGAGTCCATTTATTTATTCATGAAAGACAGAGAGAGGCAGAGACACAGGCAGAGGAAGAAGCCGGCTCCATGCAGGGAGCCCCACGTGGGACTCGATCCCAAGACTCCAGGATCACGCCCTGGACCAAAGGCAGGCGCTAAACTGCTGAGCCACCCAGGGATCCCCTGAAATCGCACTTTAAAGAAAACATTGAAATGATATCAGACTTGAGAATAAAAGTCATAAAGTGTAATGTGCATCCCATTGCAGATCTCATTGAAAAGCAGATTCTGGGCAGCCTGGGTGGCTCAGTGGTTTAGCGCCGCCTTTGGCCCAGGGTGTGATACTGGAGACCCTGGATGGAGTCCCACGTTGGGCTCCCTGCATGGAGCCTGCTTCTCCCTCTGCCTGTGTCTCTGCCTGTCTCTCGCTCTGTGTGTGTCTCATGAATAAATAAATAAAATCTTTAAAAAAAAAAAAAGAAAAGCAGATTCTGATTCTGCTTGTTGGGATGTTTGAGTGAGGCCCTGCACTTCATGAAACTCTGCATTTCTAGCAAGCTTCTAGGAATGTTGTTGTTGCCGATCAATGGCTCCTACTTTGAGTAGCAAGATCCTAGAGCTTGTATCTCAACCTAAAAAAAGGGAACAACCAGCCCACATTTAAAGGTGGGGAGGGCTTCCTTCTAAATGGCAGAAAAACTGATCAACATCCAACTAAGCCAAAGACCATTCCAAATGCAAATGATGAGTTAGGGCTGGAAGCAGGAGGTTAGCCTTGATGAGCAACATCCTTCCTCCAGGTACTGAAAGCCCCAGTGGGGGAGAAATGTTTGGCACTAATCTGGAACAGAAGTCAGGATGCTGCAGGGGGAAGACAGAGGCCAATAGGAGAGGAAGGAGGATAAGAACTGAAAGTGACAAAGGAAAGTGATTTTGAGTTGAGAAAGGGAGAATGGCCTGATGAGGTTCTCAGGTAGAAACTTTACTACTTTCACCCTGGTCTAGATAAAAGACACCCGGGCTATGCTATGAGAGACTCCTATGGAGGCTCTTTTTGCACAGCTGAGCGGTTCAGTGAGCTCAGATGGACCTATCTAATCCCAAACGACCCCACCTCCTTATATACCACTTAAAATGCTTTCTTCCTGAAGGCCAACTAACCAGCTGTTAAATAAGTAGAGCTCAAATAGAAGGCAAAACAGGATTTGCTTCACAGAGATTGGACTTTTCAATTCACAGCT